CCATTATTTTCGAAGGGGTGTTCCGTTTTGGGAACAATGGCAATTAGTCGGTTATCCAGGTAAGTATCTCACTCATAGACTACCAACATCACGATTGATTTGTGTAATTTACTAGTTATCTATTTTGTATAGATATGGATATTTAAAATTTTGACCTTTATTTGCTTTTTTGTAGTTCATTATACAAAAGATCCTGAAACCACTTGTCATGACACTCTCATCACTGGTGCTAAGCTTTCCAGGGGGTGGTCACTCTCGATCGGTCATCTGTTTCAAGTTAGTAGATCTAATCATCTGCATCGCTGCAAGGATTGGGCGTGAGATGGCGCGAGATAATATGATCTCACTGCTACAGCAGTTCTTTCTGTGCTTCAGTCTTATCCATGAAAATGGAACAGACTTGGTGGCCATGAGACAACGAGGTATCGTATTAGTTTGAACCATTTGTAACTGCCTGTCAAATTTGGTCATGTGATTATTTTGGCTAGCCTGCCTTTATTCTTGACATAAATGCTTTCAGCATGCTTTTCATACGTGTGTTTGTGAAAAATGCATTGACGTCATTATTACATGCGTATTTCAATCAAGTAGGATATACTAGCTAGCTGTCATGTTCCAAAAATGAATGTCCGTTATTCAAATTATTTGTCGAAAGCCTGAATGACCCAACATTTTTGAAAATCTGTGTTTGCCTTTTTTTTGGAAAAAATATACTTTTTTAACCAAGACCAATTAAAATACTTGTATGATGTAATTTTTGTCATAATTTTACTTTGAATACAAAGCATATGACCGCCATGCGAGTCTCACACTCAGTACTGACAGTGAAGACATGTATTGCGAGATTAAAATGGACAGCTATACACGGTCTTACAAAATAGGCACGCCAACCAAACTTGAGAACCTCAAAGGGGAGGAGGAACTCACTCCAGCTTCCAATTCAAACCCAAGCGCAGCATCCGAGCAGAGTAATAACTATTGTAAGTTATGATTAAAATTTTCTTTCATTTTGGTCAAACAAATCATTAGAAACAATCTTGGTATGAATAATGTAGTCTATTTGTGTGTATTTACAACTGGATAAACCG